TTGCATATCATTTTATACTGGATATTCATTGATTATTATCACGCATGTTACATATTATTATTATTATTATTAATTAATTTGTTATTATAAATAAAATCTATTTTTATAACATTGTGATTATTTATATGAAATACTTCTCACTTAACACGATAACGATATTTGGGATCTGAGAATTGAATTAGTGGGTAATTCTCACTGTTACTATTATTATCCCATAAATATCCCCACATACCTCCCAGCATTCATTCCATCATATATCCAATCATCCATCTCATCATACATCCCATGATACCTCCCATCATCCATCCAATCATATATACCTCCATCCCATCATACCTCCCATCAAATATTCCATTGTACCTCCCATCCCATCATCCTATCATACCTCCATACCTTGGGCATATTCTGCTGGTGGTGCATAGGCCCACTGAAGAAGCCCCTTGTGGCGTAACGCGTTGTGGACTTTTATTTTGTTTTACTACTGTGTTAATGAAGGTATTTTGGCTACTTTTACATTGAGTGTGCCATTTGCTTTTATTATTTTATTGCCTGGTATCCTGATTTTACTCCCAGTAAGAACTACTCAAGAAATCTTTAGGTGGGGATTATTCCACCCGTGCCCTATCCATAGAGCAGTTTTTCTGCTCTGGTAAATGTGAGTAATATTCTCTTAATTATTCTCCTGGTTGATTTTATACAGTGAGCACTATTGTTGTTTCTTTTTATTCTTTGGTCCACACGTCATTGAAACCATTCTTCACGTATTCTATAAGTGGGGATTGTTCCACTTGTGCCTTTCATACTAGAGCTGGTTTAAAGCTCTAAAAAACGTGAGTAGGACCATGTATACTTTTATACTTTCTGGGCATACTGCACCATTATCCTCTCCTTCTTTCCACATTCGGACCGCATCTGATATCCCAACAAGAACATTTTCCTTGAACAAGTACGTGATTGCTCCTCCGGAAAGTATATACCATCATCTTTTATTGGATTTTCTACCTTGGATATAGATTTAATAGTTTATATTTTATTTTCTATTTATCTTATTTTCTATTTATTTGTTTTTTAGGCATCTAATGCTGGTTATAATATCCACACCAGTGTCTTTTTAGAGTGGCGCTAATCCTCTACACTTTTTAATATTTTGTACTTGCATCATCCTATCATACATCCCATCGTCCCTCCCTTCATACCTCCCAATCCATCATTCATCCCATCATATATCCCATCACCCATCCCATCATTCACCCTATCCTATTTATACATCCCATCATACCTCCCATCCCATCATATATTTCATCATCCCTCCCATCATCCCATCATGCCTCCAATCATCCCTCCCATCGTCCCTCCTATCCCATCATTCATCCCATCTTACATCCCATCCCATTATACATCCCATTGTACCTCCCATCCCATCATCCATTGCATGATACCTCCCAGCCCATAATCCCATCCCATCATTCACTATATCCCAGAATACCTCCCATCCCATCCCACATTACTTCCAGTCCCACAGTGAGAGCCATAAAGAACGTCTCAATGGGACGTAGTTTGGAAAGTGCTGTTGCAATCCAGATTTTATCAGCAGGTCCCTAATGATTGCCATCAGTGACCCACTGTCTGGCTGTAAAACACACGTTATTTACAAATGCTGCAATGTCTTATTGGGTATAGTGAATGAATCCATCCAACAATAATACAATCTCAAGTCTTCCACTCCTCCACGTAGAACATGCGTATCTTACCCTGGCCTTCCTGTTCCCTTTGAACTTTAAACTCAAATTTTCAAGCAAAAAGCTGAATTTGGGACCTGAAGTCCAATAACAGTTGGAGGGCATTGGATGGACTCCTGTGTATTTTAAGGAATTCACGCATCTCTAATGGCTGCAGCCAGATCCAGTATCCACATCTAGCAGTGAGACGTCTTATTCCATAAACTACAAGTTGTGAAAAATTTACAAGGAAAATGCAAAGATTAGGCCATTCTAACGGAGGAGTAAAAATAGCTAGTAATAAAGAATGATTCCAGCTTCTCCCTTCCATAAAATGTGCTGATTTATTTTGAATGCTGCACAATTCCCAGTTTAATGATCAGATTTCTAACAGGCATGAATCACCAGGGAAAGACACCAGATTGCTTTTTATTCTGTCGAAGCACCCTCCATGCACTCACCGTGTAGGCTGAATTGTACAGCAGCCACGGTGGGATGAACTGGTGGGAGCAAAGCGCCCTCTTGGAAAGTCGTGTCTGAGCTTATTTCAGCTTAAATACAAGAATGACTCAACAGTTTTAGCTTTCAGATACGCTGAAAAAGTAACAGTTAATGATAAAAAGCACCTTCAATCTAAAGGAGTATTGTCTGTGGTCTGACTAGTGAGTACGGCAAAGCAAGTGGCCAGAATGGGCGATATAGAACCGCAGAACACACAAACAGCCTGTACGTTGGGACAATTACAGAAACACACCAAACAACCCCCACCAATTTGTTTAAATTAGAGAATTTGCTCTGCAGTAGTTTAACTCCCATCCGGCCTGATGGTTTACAGAAAGAGAATCAGGCTGGACTTATCCCGTGATCTCCCCAACACGTATCTCCAATAGTGATGTCCCGAACGGTTCGCCACGGACTCATCATTGAGTAAACGTTGACCCTGTACCTCACAGTCAGCAGACACATTCCAGCCAATCAGCAGCAGACCCTCCCTCCCAGACCCTCCCACCTCATGGACAGCATCCATTGTGAAGCTGCATTCTTAGTAAGCTGTTCGCGACATCATCATTGGAGATACGTGTTGGGGAGATCATGGGATAAGTCCAGACTGTAATAAACACTGGAGGACTACAATTGCCTCTAGTGACTACCAGACAGCCACTAGAGGCGCCTCTGGGAGTTTAACGGACTCTGGGTGCTTTAATGGCGGTGGATTTCCGCACGCTCTGCATGAGGGCTTCCAGCGCCTGTGAAATCCCCATAGGAAAGCTTTGAGTCAATGTGCTCACGGTGCTCACCTAACATGTGCACTTGGTCCCGTACCTCATCGGATGACCTTGGAGGAGGCGAATCGCTGACCTTCAGCGCTGGAATCAGGTTATTAAATAAAGGCAGGGGCACCAGAGGGCATTATAGTGTTAGGAATAGAACTCTGTATTCCTAACACTATAAATTCACTTTGATATAAGAGAAGGTCAGAGAAGCTTCCAACCTGCCTGATGGACAGCATTGAGGAGTTGGCTAATAGTCCAGTCACTGCAGATCCAGCCCACTGTCAGAGCTAAGGGTATGTGCAGTGTACTCGAAGCTCCACCAGCCCTTCAATCATGGAAAGCGGTTATCCTGGTTAGAGCGTCCCTTTGAAAGCTTTGACATTTTCACTTTTGTTTTTTCTTGTTTCTGGGACACGTTTAAATTCTATGTTTGTTTGAGCAAGACTTGAATGTGTTACCTAGATGTATATAGGATTCATATGCTCCCAGCGTGAAGTCAATGAGCTTGTGGTGATTCCTTGGAAATGCAAGTAATAGTTAATAGACCACTAAAGGCTCCCAGAGCCCTGCATTTCAATGATGTAATATAAAACATTGCTGTTTAGTAGATATGGCAATTCTTACACTGCCACTCAGTTCTCTGCAGCACATGCGCTTTAAGCACCAACACTCCCCTATTAGAAACATTTGATTGGATATTCAGATGCGTCTGGCTAATGTAAAGGGATGCAGATATTTATTTATTGAGATTGGGGGTGGCGGTGGGGCTCAATCTAAGTAAAGAGGAGAACACTATAGCGTTGCAAATACAGGTTTCTATTGTTTGTGTTCCTGTAATTAGTTTCACATTAGGAGCATGTGAATTCTATTAATGCCTGGACTTGCAGAGAATGATGGGAGATGAAGTTTAAAACTATTTGAGTAGACTGGCAGCTTAAAATCTCAGAGAAACCGTGAATATCACTGCACGTGAAGTGGCATTCATGTTGTTAGAGACGAGAGATGAAGAGCGTAACGGATCACCTGGCACCCCGACTGGGTACCTCCGTTGAAGGATGCTCCTAGCACTTCCTGAGGACTCCAAGCACTGCAGCAGACACCAAAACCACCGAACCGTAGGAGCATATGAACGCTTTCAAGCGTATGAATGTTGTATACAGCCGAATAGGAAAAACCATGCGAATAGGTTTACACTCCTAGCAGTCAAACTGGAACAGCATACAATAAATCCTCCCCCAATAATGAGACAACACTTCACTTTGAGGGTTAAGCAGGAACTGACTGGACTGGTACATACAGCCTCTTTTATTCCCAATCCACAAACTTAGTACTGCCCACAGGGTTTTACAGAACAACCAATAACACACGTACATTACAGAAAGACACTCCCACACAAAATCCTCCCCTCTGGCTGTGATATGATTACTGAACACAATAGTTAATCTAATTATCACAGCCAGAGAAATACAGTTTTTCCACATTATTCATAACTTGAAAAGTATGCATCACATTCACATAAAACTTACATTTTCAGAATCAGCATATTGAGGCACATTGAGGAAGATTTCTGCCAGATCCATGCATTGGATCAAGAGAGCAGCTGCTAAAATACCATTACATAGCAGCAAACAGATATTTGAAGCTGCTGGTGCCTCTGGAGTCCCACGGACATCAAGGTGTAGAGTCCTCCAGAGTCTTGCAACTGTGCATAAACCTTCTGTTTGGCCACCACTAACCAATGCTCACAAGCAAAAAACGGCTGCATTGGGCAAGAACTGAAATCGGCTACTCAACGGCGCGAACACCGCTGGACTTCCAGGCCGTTCGGGAGCTCCGGGCTTTCGTTATTGTGGTTCCCCATCGGTGTTCGATACGTTTAGGCGAACTCGATGGCAAAGTGTATTTCAGGAGGTGTTCGGTTGTTTTAGCTGGGATCTGAGCAGTATTCCCACGAAATGTGCGCGCAGACCCCAGCTATCTACTGAACATCCATTCGTGTAAATAAACCGAATAGTGTAAAAGTTATGTATTTAAATGTGAAATGCCAGTTCTGCTGCACGGAGGGATAATCCACTTAACGGTGTATTCCAGTGGGAGTATCCCTCTCGTCCAGCAGTGCCTGATGGGAGAAATGCCCAGAATGTTAAGTCCCCCATGTAGTCCCCTACTGTGTTACCCCTGCTATGTCAGTAGGGAAACCCCTTACATGGGGACTTGCATAAATACTGGAGCTGTGAATAAAGACCTCAGTTGACTCCCAGAACTGTGTTTCGTCCGGTTACTGGGGGATTTGGGATATTGCCTTACTTTTCAGCGCTTGACTGTGGATTACCTTCTATACCAGCGGAGATCGTGGGATTTAATATTGCCGCTCCGCTACAATATAAAATACAAATAACCGCAAATATATATATATATATATATATATAGATAAATACATATAATTACATAAAAGATTACATTAGTATACACGTAGAATTTAAATACCTATAAATGCAAATATATTCAAATTCTACATGTATATTTAAGTAATCTTTTAACATAATTAGGTGATTTGATTAATTAAAATTTGATTGACATGACTGACAACACAGGGAGAAAGTGCAGAGAATTTAATTCGCAAGCACTATATTTGACCCTGTAACTCTCCAAGACACCATAAAACCTGTACATAGGGGGTACTGTTTTACTCGGAGACTTCGCTGAACTCAAATATTAGTGTTTCAAACTGGTAAATTGTATTACAACGATGATATTTTAAGTAAAAGTGACGTTTTTTGCATTTTTTACAAACGAACAGCACTTTTATGGACTATATTATTGTTGTAATATGTTTTACTGTTTTAAAACACTAATATTTGTGTTTAGTGAAGTCTCCCAAGAATAACAGTACCCCCCATGTACAGGTTTTATGGTGTTTTGGAAAGTTAGAGAGTCACATATAAGGCTTGCATTTCATTTTTTTGACATTGAAATTTGCCAGATTGGTTATGTTGCCTTTGAGAGCGTATGGTAGCCCAGGAATGAGAATTACCCCCATGATGGCATACCATTTGCAAAAGTAGACAACCCAAGGTATTGCAAATGGGGTATGTCCAGTCTTTGTTAGTAGCCACTTAGTCACAAACACTGGCCAAATATTAGTTTTTTGCTTTTTTCACACAAAAACAAATATGAATGCTAACTTTGGCCAGTGTTTGTGACTAAGTGGCTACTAACAAAGACTAAACATACCCCTATACCTTGGGTTGTCTCCTTTTTCAAATGGTATGCCATTATGGGGGTAATTCTCATTCCTGGGCTACCACACCGTCTCAAAGGTAACATTACTAATCTGGCAAACTTCAATGTGAAAATGGAACGTTCTATATTTGACCTGTAACTTTCCAAAACACCATAAAACCTGTTAATGGGGGGCACTGTTGTACTCGTGAGACATCGCTGATTACAAATATCGGCATTCTTTTGCAGTAAAACCTAACAGTATTATGACATTCACAGCTAAAATGTCAGACGGCAATACAAATGTAAAAGAAAATCTTATTTTCTCAGATTTTTTTAAAATTATGTTCCATATATGAATAGTTAATGATAAATTAAAGCCCTGTTTCTCCTGAACAAAATGATATATAATAAGTGTGGGTGCACCTAATGTGACAGCGGTGAATTACGGTTGAACAGACGTATAGCGCAAATTCCAGTTTTTGTTTACGATTTGTTTTGATCAGAACGTGCACTATTGACTCTGTCCTGAAGGGGTTAAAATGTAACGTGACCTGTTAAAATGTTTACAAAGTTAAAATGTTGTTATAAGTTTGATTGAAATAGCTTTTGATTTCAGTAAATATGCTGCAAACGCAACAAATGACAATTTCCAGCTCTTTACAACCTATAAAGTGTTTTGTGTAGTAAGTTGGAACAGTGCATTGTAAGTTTTTTATGTTTAAAAAAAAATACTGTTATTATTAGGTTTGTTCAATAAAATTTAAATTGTACTCTTAATAGTTGATAACATGAGAATTATGCTGACTGTTATTATCGATTATTGGCATAGTGAAAAGTCATCGAGAAATCGTGCATGTCATAATTCTTACAAATGTAGAGATTTTTGATATAAATCGGTTTAAAAATCTAGCTCTTCCCCACCTTTCAATTCTCTGCATAGAAGCCATTATAGACCTGTCGGCACTTGAGTGACAGGAGAGAGCCTCCTACGAGGGGTTATCCTACCCGCGTCACAGGAACTACAGTACATAAGGAGCAGCCTGTTTTATAACCTTTACATTAAAATGATTTGTGTATATAAAAGTTTTATTGGAAGGTTTTCTTTTTAATAATATATGCTCTTTTACATAGGTTAGACATGCAGTGAATCATTACTACTCATTTTATTTAACAGTGTCTTGGATCCCATGAGTTAAAATGAATACAGGACAGTTTGGCACATAGATCAATTGGTGAGTCCCGCACCAATCTGGCCACGCTACAATGCCGGGTTTTACTGCTCAGCTGCTTAATTGGAGTGTCAGAGCTCAGTAAGAAGACTTGTTATGTGTCCTTTTAATGCCACCATATGCTAATATCCTCCCCAATGAATGAATAGTTTCTGATGTCCTTTACCCAGCCGGCATTGCGCATAATTACAATATATTCCTCTCTAACTCTCAGAGTATATTTTTGGAACTAGATTAACCTTTCAATGTTGAGAACACCCTTGGCAATCAAAGTATACATGTAATTTCCACGGAATGTGCTTAGCGACACACAGCAGGCTGCTTATTGGATGTGCGTATATTTGCATTACATACATACATAGTTACATAGGCTGAAAAGAGATATGTGTCCATCAAGTTCAGCCTTCCTCACTTTTGTTTTTGCTGTTGATCCAAAAGAAGGCAAAAAAAACCCAGTTTAAAGCACTTCCAACTTTGCAACAAAGAAGGAAAAAAAATTCCATCTTTGTAGTGAAATGGACATCTGCAAGTTACTCCTTATCCCATATACTTGATGTCCGTATCTCCCCCTGTTATTTTGTGTATTTTGCCCTATTTATTTTGTGTGGTTCGTGTGAGCTGTGGTCTCTGGTGCGGGCCTGCTGCCGTGTAACTACCGGATATAGTTTCTCCGGTTGTCCTTGGGGCTCAAAGCGGAGGTGAGCCTTCCCACCCCTAGAGACCCGTCCCCACCCCTAGAGTGTGTACCCTGGGATGCCCCCACTAAGTTTGGTAAAGAGGTGACGGCAGACCCCACGCTAACGCTAGTCAGGCGGGGTTAGAAGGGGAGAGGTATGTGTGGGATAACTGGCTGCTGTACGGGGAGTCTGAGAGGGTAGTGGCCCGGTCAGAACTGACCCCCACAAGACAGTTAGTGGTACCCTGGAGGTACTGTCAAGAGCTGCTCCGGATAGCACATGACATCCTGCTATCCGGGCATTTAGGGGTGGGAAAAATTTTGGCCAGGGATTTTGCAGGATATGTATTGCCAGACGTGCCATACTTGTCAGAGGGTAGGTAAAAGGGGAGACCACCACAAGGCCAAGCTCCACCCTCTCCCCATGATTGAGGAGCCCTTTAGCCGAATAGCGGTAGACCTGGTAGATAATATATCTTGACGGTGGTGGACTATGCTACCAGGTACCCAGAGATGGTTGCGCTGACTAATATCCATGTGGAAACGGTCGCGGAGGCCCAGATGTGAATCTTCACCAGCATGGGATTTTTCCTGGGAGATAGTGTTGGATCAGGGGAACCCAATTTACTGCAGAGGTCACCCACCAACTCTGGAGGCTCTGCGGCATTAAGCCGATTATGTGCTCCCCTTACCACCCCCAGACCAACGGTCTATGCGAACGATTCAACAGAACTCTGAAGCAAATGGATGTTCTCTGGATGTTCTCAGACACTCGTCAAGACTGGGAGAGATTCATGCCGCACCTCCTGTTTGCTTACCGGGAGGTGCCGCAGGAGTCCACAGGGTTCTCCCCATTTGAGTTACTCTTTGGGAGGAGGGTGAGGGGCCCTTAGACCTTATTCAGGAGCAATGCCAGGGGAATACTAGCCAGGAAGGGACCCCCAACGTTCCATATGTGCTGGAGTTCCGTGACTAGAGGAGTTGACTAGGTCAGTACGAGAGAACCTTGTCAGAGTATTTATATCGGCAGACATTTTGTGCTATGATAGAAACTAAAAGTGTATATTCTGAGTCATTCTGAACAGACCAGACTCCATTTTGTTATTTCAAGTTAACAAAGAAGACACTAGATTTCTTTCTGAAAGACTGGCCTCTTTGCCAGAGCTAAGGAATGCATAGTATAAACAAGTGATAAGGAAGGGGGTTGGATAGACTGTCTAAAATGCTAATGGAATATAATCAAATCTAAACCCAGACAATTGGGACAGAGAAGATTAAAAAATTTAATATTTAACTGTCTATATATATAAGGTACCATTGTATGGAAAAGGGTAAACTTAGTTCATGATCTGTCATATCAGAAATTATGGCAGGAATTGCAGACGCTAAGTCTGGACAAAATTTAAGAAATCCTTTTGAAATTTTGAATTATGGCGCTATAAAGATAACGCAAAATGACGTCAAAATAGCCACCAGGAAAAGTTAACTCTTTCCTGGATAGGTATGTTTAGTGGGACAAGACTGCCCTCTACAGACCAAATAACTAATTTGCGATCTGGAAGATAACCACACCTCTAGTGCTTCTATTGGGTTATCAACTGATGACGTACAGAGAGTCTGGCCCTTTAAAAGTTAGGACAAAGGGAAGATAGAGGATACAAAATACACGAGAGGAGGCAGATGCAAGATATGCAACGGAGAGGAGAGAGGAATTGGAAGTTTGGGGATTCCAACTCGGACAACATCTGAGAATAACACTCTACTCCTAAAACTCTAACACTTAGAATTTACTGACTTTCTAACCAACACCTCCATGCAGAGAGACTACCAATCGGATGAAATATCTACTCAACTGGTAATTATACTGGTTTCATTTAATTAAATTAAATTAATTAAAATGTATTAATAGCATTATATATGACTGGATAAAGCACGGTCAGATTTCCATATTAAGAAATCTTAGTTAACTAAGAATATATAGTTATAAACATTCCATTCTGCAGGTGGAATTAAGAATAATTATATATTGATGTGATATTATCACGTGTTAGCATACCGCTGTTTTTATCCAGGTGTATTGATTTGCTCTAAATTAAGATAGATATCTTTTAGACAAATTAAAAATCTGCTTATATAATGTAGTAAATTATCTTATTGGATGGTTTAAGAAAATGAATTTAAACTGGTTTAAATGTTATTTTATTTAAAAATTACATAAGAGTAGATCTTAACTACCTAGGAGATCTAGCCAGCATTGAA